CACCACTCACCACTTACCTCTACTCACCACTCACCACTTACCTCTACTCACCAGTTGCCTCTACTCACCACTTACCTCTACTCACCACTTACCTCTACTCACCACTCACCACTTACCTCTACTCACCACTTGCCTCTACTCACCACTCACCACTTGCCTCTACTCACCACTCACCACTCACCTCTACTCACCACTTACCTCTACTCACCACTCACCACTTACCTCTACTCACCACTTGCCTCTACTCACCACTTACCTCTACTCACCACTTACCTCTACTCACCACTCACCACTTACCTCTACTCACCACTCACCACTTACCTCTACTCACCACTTGCCTCTACTCAACACTCACCACTTGCCTCTACTCACCACTCACCACTTACCTCTACTCACCACTCACCACTTACCTCTACTCACCACTCACCACTTACGTCTACTCACCAGTTGCCTCTACTCACCACTTACCTCTACTCACCACTCACCACTTACCTCTACTCACCACTCACCACTTACCTCTACTCACCACTCACCACTTACCTCTACTCACCACTTGCCTCTACTCACCACTCACCACTTGCCTCTACTCACCACTTACCTCTACTCACCACTCACCACTTACCTCTACTCACCACTCACCACTTACCTCTACTCACCACTTGCCTCTACTCACCACTTACCTCTACTCACCACTTACCTCTACTCACAACTCACCACTTACCTCTACTCACCACTCACCACGGTGACAGGACAAATGATCTCAGGACAAATGATCTCAGACAAAATATCTCAGACAAAATATCTCACGGACAAATGATCTCAGGACAAATGATCTCAGGACAAAAGATCTCAAGGACAAATGATCTCACGGACAAAAGATACCAGGACAAAATATATCAGGACAAATGATACCATGGACAATTGATCTCAGACAAAATATCTCAGACAAAATATCTCACACCTAAATTTTAATAGTGTATTGGATGATTGTAGTTGTTCTGAACAGTTTTTTTTATTGACTTTCTTATGGTTTAGTTTACTATGTTTAATATTGTTTACAGGCCTGTATAATTAGTGTAAGAAATATTTGCCGTATAAATTTGTCATATTGCACTTAACATTTTCAAATTAAGATTACAAATATAGTATGCGAAGATTAAAGCATTTTTTTCGATAGACAGCGTAGGTGGGCTTGCCAAAAATGAGACAATCTTACCATGTCAGGTGGAAAAAACTAGATCAAAGGGAATGAAATAACAATAAAGAAACACCTTCGTATCAAGGTGGCCGCCCGCTTTGACCGCAGAGACATGCCTTATTGGAAAGACATCCGCCCTCGATGGATAATACAACTAGCCTCTAAAGTCAATAGTTATGCGTCGGTCACACCTTAGTGATCAGGTTACAAATGCTTAGTTAAACGACAGCGGTCATCGTGGAGCTAAGTTTGTCGTAGTGTGCATGCAAACAAAACAGTATTAGTGGTGATTTTGTTTCCTCGCTGAAAGGTTTTAGGACATTGTTTCTTGTGATTTTATGTGTATAAAAGCCAAAAGTAGAGCAGCAGGCAAAGAGATTTGCAAATGTGAAGTTAAAACATGTCGCGAAAGAGTTCACACAATAGATGATCACATAGTATTGGAGAGGTGTGATCATAACGATGTACTTGCCAGTAAAGAAACGTAAGCGTTATGTTTGTGTTGATGATACAATAAATAATAGTTTTACGTAACAAACCCGAAGACCCATTCACATTTTTGAAAAATATTTCGCGTGTTTTGAACATTAATGTTGTATAAATAACTTTATTTTTTTTTATACATTATCATTTATCAAACCTTTCAGGCTAAAGGAGTAAGTTTTCTTTATATTTTTACTTTCAAATCAAATGCTTTTACAAAGGTTAAGTTTAATAAATCTTTTGATGTTTTGTTAAGTTTAACAAATTCATTTTATTCACAATTATTATGCGTAGAAAAGTGAACAAAACCATATTGTAGTCAATAAAGAAAATATGTTCAGATCAACTAAAATCATTAAAAAAACTATTGAAATTTTGCTGTGAGATATTTTGTCTGAGATATTTTGTCTGAGATCATTTGTCCATGATATCATTTGTTCTGATATATTTTGTCCTGGTATCTTTTGTCCGTGAGATCATTTGTCCTTGAGATCTTTTGTCCTGAGATCATTTGTCTTGAGATCATTTGTCCGTGAGATATTTTGTCTGAGATATTTTGTCTGAGATCATTTGTCCTGAGATCATTTGTCATGGAACCCTCACCACTTACCTCTACTCACCACTTGCCTCTACTCAACACTCACCACTTGCCTTTACTCACCACTCACCACTTACCTCTACTCACCACTCACCACTTACCTCTACTCACCACTTGCCTCTACTCACCACTCACCACTTACCTCTACTCACCACTTGCCTCTACTCACCACTCACCACGTGCCTCTACTCACCACTCACCACTTACCTCTACTCACCACTTACCACTTACCTCTACTCACCACTCACCACGTGCCTCTACTCACCACTTACTTCTACTCACCAATCACTACTTGCCTCTACTCACCACTCATCACTTGCCTCTACTCACCACTCACCACTTACCTCTACTCACCACTCACCACTTGCACCTACTCACCACTTACCTCTACTCACCACTCACCACTTTTTTCTACTCACCACTCACCACTCACCACTTACCTCTACTCACCACTCACCTCTACTCACCACTCACCACTTACCTCTACTCACCACTTGCCTCTACTCACCACTCACCACTTGCCTCTACTCACCACTTGCCTCTACTCACCACTCACCACATACCTCTACTCAGCACTTGCCTCTACTCACCACTCACCACTTTTTTCTACTCACCACTCACCACTTACCTCTACTCACCACTCACCACTTACCTCTACTCACCACTTACCTCTACTCACCACTTGCCTCTACTCACCACTCACCTCTACTCACTGTCACCACTTACCTCTACTCACCACTCACCACGTGTCTCTACTCACCACTCACCACTTACCTCTACTAACCACTTACCTCTACTCACCACTCACCACGTGCCTCTACTCACCACTCACCACTTACCTCTACTCACCACTTACCACTTACCTCTACTCACCACTCACCACGTGCCTCTACTCACCACTCACCACTTACCTCTACTCACCACTTACCACTTACCTCTACTCACCACTCACCACGTGCCTCTACTCACCACTTACCTCTACTCACCACTCACTACTTTCCTCTACTCACCACTCACCACTTGCCTCTACTCACCACTTACCTCTACTCACCACTCACCACTTGCCTCTACTCACCACTTACCTCTACTCACCACTTGCCTCTACTCACCACTCACCACTTACCTCTACTCACCACTTGCATCTACTCACCACTCACCCATCGCCTCTACTCACCACTTACCTCTACTCACCACTCACCACTTGCATCTACTCACCACTTGCCTCTACTCACCACTCACCACTTGCCTCTACTCACCACTCACCACTTACCTCTACTCACCACTTGCCTCTACTCACCACTCACCACTTGCCTCTACTCACCACTCACCACTTGCCTCTACTCACCACTCACCACTTACCTCTACTCACCACTCACCACTTACCTCTACTCACCACTTACCACTTACCTCTACTCACCACTTTCCTCTACTCACTACTCACCACTTGCCTCTACTCACCACTTACCTCTACTCACCACTTGCCTCTACTCACCACTCACCACTTGCCTCTACTCAGCACTTGCCTCTACTCACCACTCACCACTTACCTCTACTCAGCACTTGCCTCTACTAACCACTCACCACTTTTTTCAGCTCACCACTCACCACTTACCTCTACTCACCACTCACCACTTACCTCTACTCACCAAGTGCCTCTACTCACCACTCACCACTTACCTCTACTCACCACTTGCCTCTACTCACCACTCACCACTTACCTCTACTCACCACTTGCCTCTACTCACCACTTACCTCTACTCACCACTCACCACTTACCTCTACTCACCACTTGCCTCTACTCACCACTAACCACTTGCCTCTACTCACCACTCACCACTTACCTCTACTCACCACTCACCACGTGCCTCTACTCACCACTCACCACTTACCTCTACTCACCACTTGCCTCTACTCACCACTCACCACTTACCTCTACTCACCACTTGCCTCTACTCACCACTCACCACATACCTCTACTCACCACTCACCACTTACCTCTACTCACCACTCACCACTTACCTCTACTCACCACTCACCACTTGCCTCTACTCACCACTCACCACTTGCCTCTACTCACCACTCACCACATGCCTCTACTTACCACTCACCACTTGCCTCTACTCACCACTCACCACTTACCTCTACTCACCACTCACCACTTGCCTCTACTCACCACTCACCACTTACCTCTACTCACCACTCACCACTTGCCTCTACTCACCACTCACCACTTACCTCTACTCACCACTTGCCTCTACTCACCACTTACCTCTACTCACCACTCACCACTTACCTCTACTCACCACTCACCACTTACCTCTACTCACCACTTGCCTCTACTCACCACTCACCACTTGCCTCTACTCACCACTCACCACTTTTTTCTACTCACCACTCACCACTTACCTCTACTCACCACTCACCACGTGCCTCTACTCACCACTTACCACTTGCCTCTACTCAGCACTTGCCTCTACTCACCACTCACCACTTTTTTTCTACTCACCACTCACCACTTACTTCTACTCAACACTCACCACGTGCCTCTACTCACCACTCACCACTTGCCTCTACTCAGCACTTGCCTCTACTCACCACTCACCACTTTTTTCTACTCACCACTCACCACTTGCCTCTACTCAGCACTTACCACTCGCCTCTACTCAGCTTTTGACGTATTCCGGTTTTGTTTAACAAAAGAATTCCTTTACCTCTACCTAGGCGTGTGAACACCTGTCTTTGTCTACAAATAAGATAGAAAAGATAGCCAACCTAAACGGTCTGAAGCACCTTAGAGTGCTGTCTATTGGCAGAAACTCGCTCAAGTCGCTTGCTGGAATCGAGGCATGCAACGACACACTTCAGGAACTTTGGTGCTCCTACAATCAGATCGACAGATTCAAGGGAATAACTGGGATGAAAAAGCTAAAGGTCTGTCTGGACATTGCGTGTCTGGACATTGCATGTCTGGACATTGCATGTCTGGACATTGCATGTCTGGACATTGCATGTCTGGTCATTGCATGTCTGGACATTGCGTGTCTGGACATTGCGTGTCTGGTCATTGCGTGTCTGGTCATTGCATGTCTGGTCATTGCATGTCTGGACATTGCATGGCTGGTCATTGCATCAAAATCTCGGCATTTTACGCGTCATCGAGTCGGAAAAACTGGGCTTTGCAATTGTGTCCGTAGGGCTCGGTGTGTGTCACTGAAGACAGTTTACAGACGACAACGAAAAGATCAAGCAGAACGTGTTACCTCAACATCGTTTTTAAAACTAAATTATCTGCCCCTAATAGCCGTCACTAAACCCGGCTCTACGATTGTAAACATTCGGCGTCGGCGTGAACCACAGCTCACCAGATATGATAGCGATTTGGTAGTTGCGCATGCCTGGAGAGCGAGGGGGGTGGGGTGAGGGTTAGATAGTCGGCTTGCGTGCGCCCATGTAGAGAATTATATCTCTACGAGCCGACCCGCAGCGTATCATACGCCGCTATTTAGTTGTTTTATTTTCTACTTTTCAGTAATTCATAATTTGTGAATTCGACAGTACCAATGCTGCCACTGAAAATATTTGCTTTAAAACACTACCCCCTCCCCCCCTTTCCCCTAACCCCGACCCTACACCCCCCCCCCCCCCCCCGTGAAAGCAGCCTCCTCTTAGTTATTTCTTAGTTACCTCCTGTAAGTTTAAAATCGAACTAAATTATCTGCCCCTAATAGAAACCCGACTCTACGGCGCTACGATTTGTAATCATTTAGCTTTGTAAACATTTAGCGTGACAACAGCTCACCAGACAATGTGGGGGTGGGGTGGGGGTGGTAGTGATAGTGATAGAGAGAAAGAGAGGGGACTGCAAGAAGGCGCTTGCAGCTTGTTTTCTAACGGCTCCCAGAAGTGAATTATATATATAGATACTACTAAAACTCAAATTTGTTTACATGATTGAATATTTATTTGTTTTTTTTTTGTCTGATTGACTACTGGAGAGAATTTGCTCTATGTGGAGAGATGTAAAATAGTATGTAGGTAGAGAAAAAATTTTGTTTTCAGACAGACTGTTAATCACAAATTTATTTACAGACGTTAATCAATTTATTGATTTATTCATAGGTAGATTAATCATATTAATTTTAAAAGTTTAAAACATTGACTTTACTTTGTGGGAATAATAGTGATGTCACATGATTTGTTTACTTTTTAGTACAATAAATGGCGGCTTCAATCCAAGATTTAGTTGCCGATTCAGATGTTTAACGCGTTCTTAAACTAATTTTCTGTCGGCTATAACTTTAACAATACGTTCGTTTTCTAATTTTTATTAAGTTTCAACACTATTATCAATGTTTTAACCTTTTTATTTAACACATTTCTCTAGATCTACAGAAATATGTCTAGATCAGGGGTCGGCAACCTGCGGTTCGCGAGCCGCATGCGGCTCTTTTGATATCAAGATGCGGCTATCCAGCTCCTTGAACAAATACTAATAATCTTTATAAAAAAATAAAATATTTGAAATAAAAAAAATGTTAGTGGCTCTTTAAAACCAGGGAAATTTTGAAAATTGTAATTTTGGCTCTTCCGCTTCAAAAGGTTGCCGACCCCTGGTCTAGATTCTTACGCCGCTTAGAAGTAAAATATATAAGTTATTAACTTTTTCAGAGTACGAGTCTAGATAGCTAAGAGGTTAGCACATTAAGCTAATATGCGGGTGGCATAGGTTCTAGATATGTCGGTGTTTTTTGTTTTTGTTTTTTTTTAGTTGTGAATGATAAGTAGAGTTCACCTGTTTCTTTGTCCTCAGTATGTAACGTGGATAGTGTGGTCAGAGCCATGCTCGGCCGGAATATTTTTTTTTCCAAAAGATAAAACATGTTGCCTGAGACTTGGCGGAACACTGGGCAGTTGAAGTAGTGTTGGGTAGGTGTAAAGTTCACCTGTGACGACAGCATATGAAGAGATAGAGTGGTCAGACCCACGCTCAGCCAAAATCTGTGTTTTCACAGATAAAAACATGTCTGAGTTGGGAGGACACTGGGCAGGTGAAGTAGAGTTGACCTGTTTTTGTGACCTCAGCATATGAAAAGATTATGTTGTTAGACCCATGCTCAGACGAAGTCTGTGCTTTTAAAGACAAAAACGTCTGAGGTGTGACGCCTTTTTGAATGTGGGGTCTGGTTATTTTGTGATGATAAGTGACAGACGTGATGTCATATATGGATGACCCCCGAAACCCACAGTTATCTAATGATAACGGGTAAACTAGTATATATATATATATATATATATATATATATATATATATATATATATATATATATATATATATATATATATATATGGTTCCATGACAAATGATCTCAGACAAAATATCTCACGGACAAATGATCTCAGGACAAATGATCTCAGGACAAATGATCTCAGGACAAATGATCTCAAGGACAAATGATTTCACGTACAAAAGATACCAGGACAAAATATATCAGGACAAAAGATATCATGGACAAAAGATCTCAGACAAAATATCTCAGACAAAATATCTCACAGCAAAATTTTAATAGTATGTACGATGATTTTAGTTGATTTGAACTTTTTTTTTAATTGACTGTTAATATGGTTTTATTTACTCTTTTTACGCATTGTAATTGATTGTTATAAAATGAATTTGTTAAACTTAACAAACAAATGTGAATGGGTCTTCAGGTTCGTCACTTGAAACTGTTATTTTTACTGCATCTTCAACACAAAAATGAAGTTTACGTTACTTTGCTGGCAGGTACATCGTTTTGATCACACATTTCCAATACTATGTGATCATATTCTTACTTGACATTTCCAAATCTCTTTGTCTGCTGCTCTACTTATGGCTTTTATAAACAGAAATTCATTAGAAACTAATGCCCTATACCCTATCTGCGAGGTCAAGAAAGATGCCATAGCTGAGTAATCACCATTAACACTGGTTTGTTTGCATGTACGCTACGACAAACTTAGCTCCGCGATGTTTGTCAAGCCCACCTACGCTATCTGTCGAAACAAATTCTTAAATCTTCGCATACTATATTAGTAATCTTAATTTTAAAATGCTTAGTACATTTTGGCAAATTTATACGGCAAAAATTTCTTACAATTATTGTATAGGCCTATAAATAATATTAAACATAGTAAACAAAACCATATGTCAGTCAATAAAAAAATGTTCAGATCAACTAAAATTATCCGATACACTTTTAAAATTGTGCTGTGAGATATTTTTTCTGAGATATTTTGTCTGAGATCTTTTGTCCATGATATCTTTTGTCCTGATATATTTTGTCCTGGTATCTTTTGTCCGTGAGATCATTTGTCCTTGAGATCATTTGTCCTGTCACCATATATATATATATATATACTAGCCGTCCCGGCCAGGCCCTGCTCTGGCTTCTGTGAAAAACCTTTCTGTTAAAGACCATTACCTGTGTGTTTAGTAATCATCATAAACCCGGCATTGCCCACCCAAACCACAACCAACCAAAAACAACAAAACGCAAACATAACGCTAACACAATTACAAATACAAACGAAAACAAAAACCTAACAACAAACCCAACCACAACCACCAATACAAACACAAAGAAAAAACAAACAAAAAAGCAAACGAAAACAAAAACCTAACAACAAACCCAACCACAAACACCAATACCAACAAAAAAAAAAAAACAACGAAAAAGCAAACGAAAACAAACCAAATCCAAACACAAAACCAACCAAAAACACAAATACAAACCCAAACAAAAAAACACAAACAAAAACGAAAAAAGAAAGAACAAAAACGAACCAAATCAAAACGCAACCACTAACGCTAACCCACCTAAACACAAAGAAAACACTAACGCGAACATAAACGCCCGGGGTGGAATCACCTGTTTTAGCTTAATGAACGACTATAGTACCCCAACTTATTCAAAGTCTTTTGCACTCACTTAAACGAACGCGCCTGTTTCAATTTGATGAACAATTTTAATACTCCAAGCTTATCCGTAAAATACCTACAACATTTGCACTTGATCAATCCCCGCTAATTAAGTAATTATTTTTTTTTCCCAACACCAAAACAAAGTAATTAAAAAGTAAATTATTTTCGACTAATGCAATGGTTTTATAAAGGGAAGTAATTTTGTTTTCCTAATTTATCAAAGGGAAGTAAGTGCTATAGGACTAAATAAAGACATAATTAGAATTTTTTTAAAAGATGATATTTTTTTTAAACTTGTGTTTAATGAACATGCCGACAATTATTACTGTAATTTGAAAAATGAAAATGATTTCCCAACACTTTCAATGGTAATTTTTTAGCTCATAAATTTAGACAAATGCGCACGATAATTTTCTAACACTTAAATTCGTACAATTCCAACGACATACAAATGCATTACATACAGAACTTAGCTTTATATATTATATATATATATATATATATATATATATATATATATATATATATATATATATATATATATATATATATATATATGTAATTATAACGACATAAGTTAAAAATCTTACTGCTACGTTCATAATCAATTAAACCATGTCACCCCTACGTTCAGAATGAGTTAAACCACCATCTAATTCTTACGTTCTGAATGAGTTAAACCATCTAATTCTTACGTTCTGGATGAGTTAAACCATCTAATTCTTACGTTCTGAATGAGTTAAACCATCTAATTCTTACGTTCTGAATGAGTTAAAGTTAAACCATCTAATTCTTACGTTTTGAATGAGTTACACAATGCTAATTCTACTTGTAAAATGAGATAAACAATGCTTCTACCACGGTCTTACCAGTAACTTTACGGTTGCAGGTCTTATTTATGGCACACAACAAAGTATCTGATTTGGCAGAAGTTGGTAAACTTTCAGGAATTTCAACACTGGAAGATGTACTCTTGGTGAGTAAAGTTCGAGGTTTATTTGTTGGTGAGTAACATTTTTAACTTAGTTATACGTTTGAGGCTTAATGTTGGTGGGTAAGGTTGGGGGGGGGGGGGGGGTGGTGGTGATAGTGAGTTAAGTTTACGTTCAGTTCAGTGGCGTCGCTGGGTCGAACGGGTGCTATCTGGTGCGGAACTTCATGGTGTCAATAACCCCCATACAAGAAAAAGTGTATATATATATATATATATATATATATATATATATATATATATATATATATATATATATATATATATATATATATATATATATATATATATATATATATATATATATATATATATATATATATATATGTGTGTGTGTGTGTGTGTGTGTGTGTGGTGACAGGACTAATGATCTCAGGACTAATGATCTCAAGGACAAAAGATACCAGGACAAAATATATCAGGACAAATGATACCATGGACAATTGATCTCAGACAAAATATCTCAGACAAAATATCTCACATCAAAATTTGTCCTGAGATCATTTGTACTGAGATCATTTGTCATGTAACCGTGTGTGTGTATGTGTGTGTGTGTGTTTGTGTGTCTGTGTGTGTTTGAATGTTATTAATACAACTGAATGTAGCATAGCTTTCTCTATGGTTCTCTATGGTTAGCAAGTTTATGTCATGGTGTCACACCCTCCTTTCTCGGGGTCGTCATTTGTACTTAAAATTTAACTTTAATTAATCATTCAGTTTTATGTCAAAAAGCATTTTTCATCTGTAAATTTTTCAAATTTTTTGGTGTCACCCCCACCCACACACCAATTTTGTTACACGGTGCAGTCCACACCCCAACCTTTACTTCCCCCACCCCTTCAATCTCTGATTATCATTTATTTCAAAAATGAGTGACATTTATTTATTTTTTAGATAGGGAATCCAATTGAGGAAGAGCTTTCGGAGTCAGGGAAGTGGTTCAATGAATTTCGGAAAAAATGTCCAAAGGTTAAAAAACTGGATGGAACAGTTTTTGGCGGAGACGATTAGCTATCATTATCACGACTAAGGAAGCTTTAGCACTCTTATAAAATTAGGTACTTATTTTAACTTTCAGATAAAAAAAATTATTGGCAAAAAAAAAACCCCAAAAAAAACACCCCTCAATTTAAGAATCAAAATAAATGTAAGTTTTATCGCATGCGGTAAGGCTAGATTTTTTTTTGTTTGTTTGAGTTATGATAAGAGTTAAAGTAGTTTTTCTTAAATCTGATCGAACGAAAAGAGTCATCAGTGGGACGTTTTTAAAAGTAAATATTTGTTAGAGGAGCGCTCTTAAATCAATAATGACGCTAGATTATTTGTAGTGAGATTTTTTTTTCTATTTAAAAATTTCAGCAGTGACACTAGTTTATAATCACATTGTTTGAACGTACTTATGACTGGTATTTAGACAAAAATAAAAGCATGTTTAATAAACATAAAACGATTTCATTTTGTGTTTTGTAATTCTGTATTATGTATTATAACTTTAAATGGTTTGAAAGGAAACATAATAAACTTGCGACCTGTGTGCCTATGTAATATATGACAATGTGACTTAGTTATTTGTTTAATAATCTACTGTCAAGAACGTTATGCCAATGTACTGGAGCTACTGTATAGATGTCACTCGGTGCCGTAAATTAGGGTCACCCCTACCCCCACTTGAATATACAGGTTTATATTCATGTAAATAAAAAAAAACACTATACCTTTATTTGTAAAGTTTAATCCATCCCTGCCAGTGAGAGATCCTTCTTTCAGTCATAATTAAGTGTGGACATAGATCTTGGTAGAATCTTGGAATTTTCAAAAATTCTTTTCGACGTAAATTACAAATGACACACAGAACAAAACATTGTACTTGTGGACGCAGACATAACAGGGACTTGCCGCAAGTATGTTAGTTATTTTAGTGACGTACATTTTTTAAACGTATTTTTATGTTCGGGTAGTCGATATGGGGTAAGGTGTCTCAGACCGATTTAGTAGTCTGCCAAGGCACGGGCCTTTAAGACACGGACCGAAAAAGAGGTATCGCGAGTTCAAAAGGTTAACTCGACAACTATGTTTGTTCGTGGTACTAAACATTTTGCGACCATCAAGGTTATAGAATTATATTTATGGTAAAAACGGTTAAATATCAAGGTATCAAGGGAAGCTATTCAAAACAAAGGGATGCAAGCACGTACAAATCTTGGCCGTATCCTGGCATAAGCATGGCGGGACCTTGGCCAATTTATCGCCAAGATAGAGATATTGAAAGAAAGTCACAAAGGAAAAATTTTATCGGAAAGAAGTCACAGAAATAAAGTCACAGAAAAACAGTCGCTAAAATATATTAAGAAATATTTTCATTTAATTGTTGAGAATTGTAAAATTTTGGGTGTTTATTAATCATTAATTTAATGTGTGTGGTGTTTTTATGGTCACATATTTATAAAAATTAAAAGTTGTATGGTTTTAAACAATAATAAGTAAAAATACTAAATGATAATTTACAGAGCATCTTCAACTTTTGTTAGGTATTTAATTAAACACGCGGTAAAAAAATAATTATAAACGAAACTTAAGCACATCATTGTTATTTGCATATGTTTTTTTGCCGTAGGCCTTTCCTTAGTCTGCTTCTCCTCAATCAACCTTGTCCGTCCTTGTTAACGTTTTGCGTCAGTGACAGCCTTTGTACCGTGTCGGCTTTCTGTTTTGATCTTATGCTTTGTTATATAATGAGCAGAGCCGGCGTTAGGGGGTGGCAAACGGGGCGGTCGCCCCAGGCCCCGCGCTTGAAGTGGCCCCGCTCTTCAGCACCGTCACTGTTATCTGAATTAGTTTGTAAACTTAATTAATTGTTGCTAAATTAAATTAAAAAAAAAAACAACAACAACTAAATGGCCGAAGTTGTTGTATGTTAAAACTGAAGCCACGGCTGATGTTAGTGAGTTATCTTCTACATGGACTGGGACAGACCATTATTCTAAAGAAAGACGTTATTGTCACACATTGCTGGCACGGTCGACTCGCAATTGTCCTGAGGTGACTGGAGATGGCGGTCGCGAATTGGCCCCCGACCTGACATGGGAGGTAAAATCGGGAAAACACTAAAGAGATAACCTATTGTATGCGGACCATTGAAGACGTTTTTTTTTTTAGTGAGCAGGCGGGGATGCCTGTAGTAAACAGTCAGTAACCTGATGATGGCTTGCAATGGAAGGGGGGGGGGGGGGGGATGGGGACATGCCCCGGACATCCAGAGTATTTATCCCTAAAATCATAATGTATACACTGTATGGGCATCTTTTGTGTAATTATGCTTATTTACCACGATACGTTTGATAGACATCCATACAGTAATTATGTTCATATTCATTTTATATATTGTCACGTCATCTTTAAATACATTATACTTGTATTTATTTTTATATTTTTGAAGGGCATTTATACAGTATTTATGTCCATATTCATTGTGGTGAACTTTAACGGTATTCGTAAAGTGATAAAGCACATGCTTTTTTTACTTGATTGTAGGGATATTCAGTATAATAGTTAAGACCATAGTGATTCTTGTTTTAAAACAGTGCAGGCATACTAAACAAATTATAAAGTCTATACTGTTTGATACATCGGGCCGAGACTGTTTTATGGTAAAGTTCTCCTGATTTCTCAAACGTCTAAATATATATATATATATATATATATATATATATATATATATATATATATATATATATATATATATATATATATATACTAGACTACCCGTCATCCGTTGGATAAATGTGGGTTTCGGGGGTCATCCATCAAGAAACATCACGTCTGTCACTCAGAGGCATAGCAACCCTTCCCGGCGCCCGGGAACAAACTTTTCGATTTGAACCCCCCCCCCCCCCCCCGCAGGATTTTGATTTGCAACCCCCCCCCCCCCCAAACTTTTGATGTGCACCCCCCCCCCTCAAGATTTCGATTTGAACCCCCCCCCCCACTCAAACTTTCGATTTGCACCCCCTCAACCTTTCAATTTATTTTTCCAACCCATTTTGGCGCCCCCTAAGGTCGGCGCCCGGGGACATATGTCCCCCCCCCCTCCTCGCTACGCTACTGCAGTGTCACTTATCGTCACAAAAAACAGACCCCACATTCAAAAATATGTTTTTTATCTTTTAAAAACACCGAAAACACCGATTTCGGACTATCCCTTCATATACTGACGTCACAGGTGACCTACTCAACTCTACTTCACCTGCCCAGTGTCCCGCCAAGTCTCAGACAACATGTTTTTATCGTTTAAAAAACGATTCCAGCCGAGCATGTCTCTGACCACACTTTCCTTTCATATGCTTAGGACAAAGAAACATATGAACTCTACTTCACCTGCCCTGTATCCTGCCAAGTTCAGATAGGCAACTTTATCATTCACATCTAAAAAAAATTGAAAAAAAAATATCATTGACGAATTGGTCTAGAACCTGTGCCACCCGCATGAGAGCCGATTACACTACCAACTTAGCTATTTACCCGTGACGTCACAAGTGAATTTTTATACTATACTTTGAGTCTCCCTATGCAACTTGATTTCCGCGCGTTGATCTAGAACTAAGTCTAGTAGTAGTAACTTTCAAATTAAATTTTATCTTAAATTAGCCAAACAAAGATGTTTATATAAAATAAAGAAGGTCTGAAATTATCTAGATCTAGATAGAATTATCTAGATCTAGATTCTACTACTCGTTTGCTTAAGTCTTAAGTTTAGTTTTTCTTGCTAGATCTAGAATCTAGATTTTCTAGATCTAATCATTAGCTAATAGCTACGCTAATAGGCCCGGGAGCGAGCATTTCAAAATTACCATATTCCAAACAAAGATTTATATAAAATAATAAAGGTCTAAAATAGTTTAGTATATAGAAAATCATTATTAACTAAATCTAGATAGAATTATCTATATTTTAGATCTACGACTGAGCTATATTTAGAATTTACGTTTATAATTTAGCAAAATTAGCGGTATCGAAGCCGCGTATGAATCTTAAGCTACGCAAATAGGCCCGGATCCAGCATTTCAAAATTTGCATAGTCGAAACAAAGATTTATACAAAATAATAAAGGTCTAAAATATTTTAGTATATAGAAACTCATTATTATCTAAATTTAGATAGAATTATCTATATTCTAGATCTACGACTGGTTTGCTTAAGTCTCGTTTTTTTTTTTTTTTTTTTTTTATTGTATTTATAACTAATAAATCTTTGATTTGACCTAGATTCTAGATCTAGATCTAGATCTATAAATAACTTTCTTGGACAGATTGTAGATCTAGAGAAATTTATCGTAAAACTAAATGAAAAAGACAGTTGAAAATTGATATAAGTGTTGGAACGTAATAAATACAGCAAACGGACGTATTGTTAAAGTTAAAGCCGACAGAAAATTAGCTTTAAAACGCGTTAAACATTGGAATGGGAACACAGTCTTCTTCGATAGGCCCCCATGATTATGGATGTAAAAAAATAAACACATCATGTGACGTCACTGTTTCCGTCGAGTCTAGTGGTTTTTGTAATCTTTTTTAAAAAAAGTGGTTAATCTACCTATGAATAAATCAATAAATTAATTAACGTCTTTAAATAAATTTTTGATTAACAGTCTGTCTTAAAACAACATTTTTTCTCTACCTACATACTATTTTACAGCTGTCCACGATGAATAGAAGTATTCACAATACTCGATCAGCCAAACAAAAAAAAAAAAAAAAACAAACAAAAAAATAAATATTCAAACATGTAAACAAACTTGAGTTTTAGTAGTATAATATATATATATATATATATATATGTACAATAGCCGTACAATTGAAGATAAATTACAACATGCATTATATTATTAAACAGAATACAAATAGAAAAGCATTAAATAATTGACTTACCTAAACTCTTGAAAAAACTGCGTACAGGTAAATAACTGACTCAAAAATGTAATAATGGGTAGAAATGCTGGGAGGGGAGATAATTTGGGGGATATGCCGAAAGAGGGGGGGGGATGTGGCTATTTTTCATGCCCTACAAAATAGTTTTTACATTGTACTAGCGGACCGGGCTGCGGTTACATAGGTAAGGTATTCTTTTTTTAATTTAATTGGGAAAAACTAAAGGTCAAAGTTCACCATTGTTGATTGTTACAACTGAGGCCACGGTTGATGTGAGTGAGTTATCACCCACCTGAACTGCAACAGGAAGACATTAGTGTCACACCTCGATGTGTGCCGGTTCCCCTGGTTATTATTTGACCCGAAATGGCTGGCGATGTGAGTGACTTGAGTGAGCCATCCCACCCCATCCCACCCACCTTTAGTCTGGTATGTAAATTTGGGAAAACACGTAATGTTTAATACCCGTATTAAATATTGTACGTATAACGCAATCAAAACCTACAAACTTCATACTAAATATTTTTACATGTCTTATAAATATTACTATACGCACATTACATTACATTTAATTTGTCGTAAGTTGATTTGCACTTTCTAAATATTTAATACATAAATCTATTAACAAATTCCATGCAAATACACATTTGTGACTTTTTTCGAGTGTCTTTTTTCCTGTGACATTTTTTTTCCTGTGACTTTTTACTTTCTCGTATATACGAAGTATAGAAAAAGTCTTGTAATCGTGCAAAAAAAAAAAAAAAAACCGAGATTTTTGCAAATCTCGACGTTTACAGCTCCCTGAGTCGGAAAAGCATAGTTTTGCAATTTTGTCCGTATGTCTCTGTGTGTGTTAGTGTGTCTGTCTGTCCGTGTGTGTGTAAACACGATAACTTGAGTACCGTTACAACTAGGTTCAATGATGAAATTTCATATATTAGTATTATATCAAAATTGTAGATCCGTAACAATTTTTGAGCGATTTCCAATAACCTGAAGTGGAACCGTTTCTACTTTGAAATTTTCAAAAGCCTATAACTTGAGTACTATTTCAGATAGATAAATTAAAATTTTGAGTAATTTCCGTTGACCGGAAGTAGTAATTTTAGCTATTTCCGATTTCTCAAAAAACGCATGGGAATTTATAAAGTTCTAATAATATTCCGCACTATTATGCACATTTTATTTGGCAATCACTTGTGTGCAATTCTTTTTTCTAAGAGATTTTATTCCATTTTAAAAAGTTGAAGTATTTAAAATCTATTAAAAATCATGTCTATATTCCGAGTTCCGATCCCCTGTTGTTTCATATAAGAAAATTCGAGAAAATTTAGGGGAGATCAATCCCGGTTTATTTTTTCCTACAATCGTTTACCTAGGCCTAGGCCCTAATGAATTTTATTTTGTTTCGAGTCAAAATAAAATAAAATTGAATTCTAATTTTGAAAAGAAAACGGAAGTTTCACGCAACGCAGTAAACATGGACGACGCACAGGATGATTTAAATCCTGAACAAACGGAAAAATTATTACAATTCCAGGTATGTTAGACAAATTAAATTAGGTCTATTTAATACACGAAATCGCATCTAATTACCGATGTTCGACAACGGACTCATCCGGTAATTAGATCAATTGTTTAGGTAGTAAATAGGTAGGCATACGCAGTAAAATAGGCCGAAGCTAAATCCTAGATTTTCTCACTAAATCTAGAATTTATGCAATTTTCGGTAAAATCTTAGTTTAGCGTCGTAAATTCCAACGTAGCTAGAAAGTCTAGTAATGTGCGATGAAGGTAACTAATGAATATTTCTTTCATTTGGCCATATTTATGTCATATTTTACATAATATAACAGATAATTGAATATCACAATCCAAGACCAAACCAGTCATAAATATCCTGAAATAAACTTTAAACTACCCCGTTCGAGACAACAATGAGTAAATATAAGCAGCGGCCATGTTTTAAAAACAATAAATAGTCTATTCGCATGTCTTTTGTGTAGATTTTGTGGTTTAATATGATTGTTTTGTATTGTTTTAATATATGCCGGGGGTCGTCCATAAATGACGTCACACTCATAGGGGGAGGGGGGGTCCGTAATTTTGTGACGTTGTGTGATGAGGGGGGGGGGGGGAGGGGTTCAGATGGTGCGACGTCACACTTTCGCATTTTAAAAAAGCAATGTTAGAAAACGAATTTTAGACGTTATTTTGCGTTTTAAAAAACTGTTTTAATACATTATAATAACAATTGATTAAAATACTCTATTTTGACAGAGTTCAGACAAGATTTTGGAAAAATATAGCTGTTTAAAAACAATTCAACTGCAATTTTGAGGGGGGTTGTAGGCTGAGGTGTGACGTCATTTTAGGGGGGGGGTCTGGCTTTTTGTGACGATGTGTGACGGAGGGGAGGGGGGGAGGTAATAATCATCAAAAAAGCGTGACATCATTTATGGATGACCCCCTGTATAGTAATTTTTCTTTTTTTTTTTTTATAGTTGACATGAATGACTAATAGACCTTATCAGACTTAATAGTGTGCATCCAAGACCACAACAATTGTTGGGAGGTCGAACTTTTGAACACTTTATTTGCAGTAAGCAAATCATTATTAGATCGCTCATAAATGACGTCGCTCTTAAGATAGTAATGACAGCGTGCATTATTTCAGAGCAAACATATGAACATATTGTTTCAGATAGAAATTGTGATTTGTAGTGGGGAGAGGTTGAGTAGAACTCAGCGATGTGATTTTGGAGACGGGTCAGGTTTTTTTTTTTTCGTGAAAACGGGATGGTTGTGGGAGAAAGACCAGCGGTAGAAGTATGAAGCGTCATTCATTGGTGATCCATTTTCTCAGTGGGGACGAAAGAACTATTAAGAAGGGTCAAGAAATGTAAAAAGCTTGCTGAGTCGCATTTCTTGAACCCCACCTTTTTCATTCCCCCACTTAGCACATCGCCACCGAGTTAACGCTCGCACGTGACGTCATGCAACGGTACCGCCGACCGTTAGGCTAATTTTATAGAAAAAAAACAACAAGCACTGCCTTTTTGACGCTTTTGCGACGTTTAATTTGATTACATAAGTTGGTGTTCATTAAACAGCCCCTAACACATCTATCACTCGTCCATTTAAACGTACGTAGTTATTTCTGCAAGCTTGCTGTCTTGAGACTTTCGGCCCTTTAAAAATGTATTAAGCTCACACCGTATAGAACTAGACTACCCATATTAAGCTCCAAAAAAAGCTTGGTGAAAACAGGATGGCTGTCCGATTTTGAAGCTGCTCTGCGCTTTATAAAAACCACAATAAACGATAAGATGACACTTATATTAAAGTAAATTATAGTTCTGAATCTTGATACATTAAAAGTGATATTCGGAAATTAAGAGCCAGACAGTCAACATGATATTTCAATTTAAGTCCAAGAAAATAAATTTCCTCAAACGATGGAACATTACTAAATTTTCGCGCAGTTTAGCGAAATTGAATTTAAGTATTTACGTCATCTTACAAAGCGCGATAGCTTACTGGTGCTCTAACACGGCCCATGCTAATGGCCGTATTCCTAACGCCCCGCATTAGACGCGGCTTATTCGTCGGCAGGCATTTGGTGGCAAGCCTTTTTGACGGGGATAATGTGTTGCGGCCGTTTTGCGGAATGTCTTAAACTAGCAGGCTTGCAACATTTGTGATGATTCGTTTTAAGCAAGGTATACGTATACTAATGCTTATTTATCGTTATTTTGATTGAACAAAGCATTATAGAGGTTCTCCATCAACCACCTAGGTATTTTTCCCCGTTCACCTCCTTTCATGAGACCGACACGTCATAAATTGCAAAGCCGCCTGAGTTGACGTCACAAATCTTCACTCACTCCCGTAGCAAATCATATGTGACATCATTTATGGACAACCCCATATCACTCACTTGTGTACTTGATATTGACAATTTGACAACAAAGGATAACCAACATGTGTCTGGCAGGTGGAGACTTGCGATCGACCATAATGACAACACGCACTTAAGGGGTGGACTGGCTCATTGTTTTAGATGATGTTTTACGAGGGAAGCTGGTGGATAATACATTTTGTCTCTCTGTATATATAAATGATGACAAACATTTATTGTTCTCAAAATTATGGTTAGAGATCTTAGATAAGGCAGAGTGAAGCCTAATTTTTTACATTATGACTTGTGACATTGACGACAAAAATATGAAGGAGGTTGGGGTTTAATTAAGGTAAAGAGAAGTAAAAAAAATGTCATAAATTACGATAGAATTACTAATTGATGAAAAGAAAAACCTGAAATGAAAATAGTGAACATTCAAGCAATAAGAAAAAACTCACAACTATTTAGTAATAGTAAGATCAAATAAACATTAGTAAAAAAAACGTGATTTAATACATGGATACAAGTTGCATCTCACAATGCTTCTAGAATTAATAAAGTTGTTTGTTAGGAAATTCACATTTTAAAAAATGCTTTGTAATACGGACTATACAACAAGACGATCATATTTAAATACATTTTCATATGAATAGAAATGAAAGGGAAGCTACTCTCAATAACATTTTCTTAAGATGGCTGCTGTTTTTAATAGCAAATTTACTATATCGAAGAGGGTTGATAAAAATTAATTTCAGGATATTTAAATTGATTTAACCATCAATGGTGATCTATTATTCAATTATCTATAATACTTTATCAAAATATACGAAAATATACTCATATTTAATGACATATTCATTAATTCACTCTCTCCTACATTACTAGTTTTGGCCGAATTTACGACGCTTAACTAAGATTTTACCCAATTTTCAATTTAAACATGACCACTGAATAATAGACATACATATTTAATCCATAAGCCACTAATTTTGAAGTTTTTAGTTCGTTTTAAACTAAATTAGGCCTACTTAATTTAATATTTATTGACACTCACTGCCATGACCAACACACCTCTCCATGACAACTCTTCTTAAGCTTGAACGTAAAGAAAACCACAAATCAGGTTAGACTTTTTAAGTGGCCATGCACCCAGAGTTCCTCACTAGTAATCATCAAATAGCGGTCACGTGGTTTTTAAAAAATAAAAATAAATTGGTTGTGATACGGACGCCGGTCTTATAAAAAAGGTCGATGCTAGCCGGAATAAGATACGCATGCGCAATGGAGAGAAACTACGACTTGCCTTTGCGGCGATGTTTTTGATGGTAATGCGCATGCGTGTGTTTACAACCGCAGAACCATAACACCAACCCTAATCCTAACCCTATCCCTAATCCTATCCCTAACCCAAGCCCTAATCCTATCCCTAACCCTAATCCTTCCCCTAACCCTCATTCTAGCCCTAACCTTAGCCATAGGTCACTGCGCATGCGCAGAGCTATCTTTTGCCGACTAAGTGGAGACGTTGGGGAGAAAAATCTTCTTCCGAGTAGTCACTTCGTATAAAAAAACAGCTCACAATATTTGATTTCTTTTTTCATAGACTGATAAAACTAATAATGCTTTACGTTCTCGCTCATTTCTGTACCTACACTGTTGATATTTTTTAAATGCTATTAATTTTAATGAAACCAACTTTTGAATTTAGCCTCCGTTCTCCAAACCAAATTTTAAAATGCTTTTCTGGCATATCTAACCCTGCCACCTATGGTTTGACATGGAAATCCCGCCATTTTGCGCGTGGTAAACATTTTTAAATGTAATTAGTTGAAGGTCTCTGGAATTTGGCCGAAAAATCGCCGGAAATCAAACGTCCGGTCCGGGCGCCATATTGTTGTTAGCAACCGACCACGCCTCCAAGTTAGCGAGAAATACTACTAAATCCAGACTCTTGATAGCTAGATCTAAATATATTATCTAGATCTAGATTTCTAGATCTATATCTTCTTACTAATTAAATTACTTGATTTTAGATCTGAATCTTAAATCTAGATATACATTTTTCATGGACCTATTTTTATGTGGCTACAAGTCACGTAACAAGTCGTAATAGTTAGCGAGACTCACTAACTAAAAAAACTTGAAAGCGTCCTTGGTTGCTAACCAGAACATGGCTACGTCACCTTGGCCTACGATTGGGCAATTTTTTCTGCTTTGTTCGAGAGACCACCTTAACATTAAGTTTAAAAATAATTATCACGCCAAAAATGGCGTTTTTTTTCACGTATTTTAAGCTATCTGATGATGACAAAGCTATTTTAGGCAGAATTTTTTTTTTAATTTACTTCCGACCATGGAGGTCAAACGTAAACATGGGTATAGTTTGAGTTGTTTAAAAACTTTAAATAATGGTCTGTAAGGTGTCCAAATGGCACTGTAAGGTAGAGTATTATTAGATTGATCGTTTAGTGAAAAAATATTGTAGGCCCTAATTACTTTGTATCCATTTTAAGAAATCGGCATCTGAAAGCACGTAATTTTTTATTGTGACATCATCGCTTTTGTTACGGAAGCTGTACATTCTCTCGCTGCTTATATAATTGTGTTTTCTTTTCACTTGACACTCTTTTTCAGCTTATTTTGCTAGCGTAATTAGACTAATTAAGCCTAATTATGGATATTTCACCTGGCTTTTGGATTATACTATGACTCTAAAAACCCTTAAACCACAACGATCTTTTATTTATTTTTTTTGTTGATCCCTGGCCTGGAATTAGATCTAGATCTAGTAGTGAGCGTTGGTCTTTGTGTGCTTACTTAGGCTAATGACTTAGGCCTAATTTTTTGTTTTCAACTTTGTTATAGCTTAATAATTTGTCTTAATTCTTATTGATTTCATAAATTTTAATTAGGCTAATTGTAATATTATTTTCACTGGTCTTCGTTGCCCAATTATTTGTTTTCAAATTTGTTATAGCTTAATTAATTTGTCTTAATTCTTATTGATTTCATAAATTTTAATTAGGTTAATTATAATATTATTTTCGCTGGTCTTCGTTGATACATTTATTAGGCTTAGTAATATATTTAATAAATATATTTATATATTTTATTATATATTATTAAGATTTTAGAGGCCTGATAAATTAAATGATTTTAGCGTTGAGTCTAGGTTTACATTACTAATTAGTACTTAGTAAACCAAGTACGCATGGACTAGGACATGTGTGTGCTGTGCCGGGGTTGTGGCAGGCGATGCCTCTCTCGCTGACAAACCAGCGCGAGCGAGCGAGTCGTGTGTCACACTTGGCCTGTGTCGGTGTTTGGAATGCATAGGCATAGGCCTAATTCTCGCTCTCGGGTAATCAATTTTTATGCTCTGACATTTGAAAAATCAAATAGACACACATCTTAATTAAATACATTTAATTTGAACTTTATATTAATCTAGGCCTACAATACTAATTATAACTTGGGATAACAAAGTAGGCCTACTTGGACTAGATTTAGCGCATGCTCACACTGTGCTGTGAGTTTTCTCTCGCTGGTTGATAAAAGAACGCAGGCGGGCTGGCGATGTTTGTAATTTGCATATATCTTCGCTCACAGTCAATAATTTTAATGTGATTGGCCTCTTTTTATTTTATAGGCCTAATTAATTGTATTTGATAGGCTAACATTTCTCGTTGACAAAATTACGCGAGCGAGATGTCTGTCACGCGCACTGCCCGTGACGCTGGTTAGAATGCATTTCTCGCTAACTTGATCAATTTTGATGCTATTGCAGTTTTTTTTTTTTAAATAAATCAAATACTTACAAATCTTAACATTTTAAACTGAACTGAGCAACAACAACATTTTGTAAATAACACACCTGTCACAAGTCAAGTGAGAGAGGAGGGTTAGATTCATTTTACAATGACATCGCTATATTTTATGAATTGCCCTAATAAATTAAGCATTGCTAAAACACACTAGTTAATAAAACATGCACGGGATTGAATATCTTTTAAAAGATTAGATCTAGATCTATACTATAATATATATATTCTTAAACATGTTTTTCATTAATTTGGGTTTAGTTTTCCTTTTTAAACACCCTTCCATTTAAAAAAAAGTTAAATCAAATATTTAAAAATTCTAGAACATAGATCTAATTCCATCATGTGATTTTTATTCTGACGAAGACAGTGTCCATACGAATAGAAAAGTGGTAATAAAATCAAATGTACTGTGCATATTCTGCTAAAATCAAATCAGCTGCAAGGTCAACCCTGCAGAGTTCTCCTCTTCAGATAGGCATATGGTTGTCACGGATTGTTTGGCTTGCAATGCTGGAGTGGCCAATTAATAAAAATCAGTAATTAAGCTCCAGTAATAGGTAGGCCCTAGGTAGTTTTTCTTACTAAATCTGAAATCTAGGCCCCCTACTCAATTTTCAATTTAAACATGACAACTGAATAAAAAAACGTCCATACTTTATCCACTAGGGGTAAAACCTTAGTTTAGCGTCGTAAATTTGGCCAAAACTAGCAATGTGGGAGAGAGTGAATTAATGAATAGGCCTATGTCATTAAATATTAGTCTGGCTCATTGCTGAGATAGCGTGATGACTTCTGACCCTGAAATGTCACTTGTCATTTTTTCGTTTTTTTTTAGGGGTCCTATACACACGACAAATGAATAAACTGCTAATATCGCAAAATCTCATCATTATTTTAATGTGAGATGCTAACTAAATGGACGCCATGCCTTAAAGTGGCCGAAATATTCACGAGGTTTTAATTAATACACGCTATTCTTGTCGAGTACTCTTGGGAAAAACTGAACTGCCGCCTTAAACGGCCCAGTACATGGTCGAAACCCCCTGGTACAGATGCAGAAATATATAATTGAGATATTTATATTGATTAATTACAGATCTGTTGATACATTTTTTTTTAAATCGAATATGAGGATGAGGTACCCATGCAGACATTTCTGTCCGCTTTGTTTACTGTCGTGACGTCATTGTTACGCTAGTTACCTCACAGAAACAACTAGTTTTTGTTTTTTGCGGAATGAACTGTTAAGTCTTGTTTTCTAATTATAATTCAACTGTAGCGTGTGCAGAAAAATTAAAATTGTGGAAATACTTATTGTATTAGTAATTTTATTAGTATATTGATTTTTTTCTTCACTGTGGGCCGACAGTAGCTGCATTGAATTTAATTCGTGACCGGTGGTTAACCTAGTCAACGCTGCGTGGCATATTCGTTTATACAATTTGTGATGCTCGTTCAGTGGCCTTTTTCAGAGCTAGACCTAATTACAGGCGATTTTTACTTATTTGATAGGCCGTTAGTCTTTTTCATTGCTTTGTATTTTAAACAATGCTCGTTCAGCTGCCTTTTTTGAAGTTTATCCAGTAAGCAGTAATTTTTAGCAGGAAACCATTTAGCGAGACTAAACTATATAGATGCGTCTTTGACCATACATTGGTACCACCTTTTATAGTTCAGGCCTGCTAAACAAGATATTGTGGTTTATGTGCATTGGGGTGGGAGTGGAACTGTAGAGTAGCACATTAGGGGGTAGAGATATGGGTCTAAAAATATATTAAACAAATTTCATTATACACACAATACTTTAAATATTAATTTTTGATTGAAGATTGGTACAGAAATTGCCACTAAAGGACTATGTATAATATAATTATATGAGCCAAATGTCTAAAAAAAGGTAATGAAATAATTGTCTGTTTTAAAATTCCGTGCGACTTTAAGTTTCATGGTTTCAAAAATTTCAAATTTTGGTTTCAGGGTTGGTAAAATTTGGGAATTGATTTTCAGGATTCGCTTAAAAAATGAGCGGCACCCCTGCAATTAATCGTAATTGAATGTCCTACACACTACTATATATATTTTAAGTAATTATTAATTTATTGAAAAATGATAATTACTGAGTTTTAAATAAGAAAAAATAGAGTTGATTTTTTTTCAGCATTATTTTTGTGGCATTTAGTTTTGTTTTGAAAATTTCCTATTTGTTCCTTGTAAAGTCACGGTCGTGGGAAGTTAAGTTTTTCATTTGACTGTGTTTTTATTTTCCTTGTTTTCTCTAGATTGTTGAAGACAAACAGAATAGAAACTATTATAGTGATAGGCCTACTAATAAAGTTCTACTATCAGAATATCTACTACTTTTTAATTAATAGTCTAGATTATGTTTGGAATTACAATATATTTTGTACAGAGGAAAGAAAATGAAGCAGTGTTTATTTCCTTTGGGATTAGGCATCTACTTATTGAAAATGCTTAATATTTTAATTGATAACCCATTGGGCTTGGTAGGGTCATCTGTGCGGAAGCTAATTTCGATAGTCCTGGAGCTCAGGGTTATCAATACCGGTAATCAGTATCTATTGATACTTTATTTCTTCATATCGCAAACGTCATATAGCATTCTGCCAACAAGTTTTATAAGACTGTACTTAACATACTCCAGATATCAAGTCCACAATATGAGGCACTAGTACAAACATAAAATTACAATACTTTCATCTTGTCTATACTCATTCTCTCATCTCAAGAGATGATTCAACTCATGACTATATTAGCACACTGTCAAGATCACTCACAGTGTGAGATGGTAATGCTGCCAAGAAAGCTCCACTACCCAGATTCCCAGAGGTCCCATGACACTGCTTACACTAATTATGTGTTGCACTTTTAATAAACAGATATGATGATAAAAACTTAATAGCAACTCATTCTGTGTAGTTATCTTGTAAGTCTGACTACCTTACAAATCAGCAATTATTTTTGTATAATCCTTTTAGTCCTATTCCTAGTGAGTGCTAGTTTTAGGTTTAATATATAATGGTTTTATCTGTAGAAATAAATGACTAGATATATACAGATACTAATGTGTATAACAACTACAGGATTTGACTGGCATAGAACAAATCCAAAGGTGTCGCCAAATTTTGGAAGGACATGATTGGAATATTGAGGCTGCTGTACAGGACACCTTTAATGAACAGGAAGGGGCACCTACAGTGTTTGATAGACCTCCATCAAGGCAGGAAGAAAGGACCCCACTTGTCAACTTGCAGCCTGCTAACCAACGGTAGAAGAAATGAATATTTGTTCAAATATCTCGTCATTTTTACATTTTGATTTGTTCTCCAGAGAGAATTTCCCTGTGAAATTAAGAATCTTATTTTACACATTATATTACAAAATGTATGAATATATAAATGATAATCATATTTTTAGGGTAATACTTTACCCAGGCAGGAGGCCGCAAGGCATATTTCAGTGGACATACTACCTCCTCACTATGCCCATCCGTTTTGTGTGGACTACCATTTTTGACATTCTTAGAGTTTTTGGTGAGTTTTTTTTATCTGGCATTGTCATTCTTGTTGTTGTTATCATTTGAATGTTGTTTGTTTTCTTTGATGTTGAAAACGTCTTACAAAAACAACTTTTAACTATAGCACACTTCTTTTTACCTCTTCCCCAATAATACCACAACACGCTGTGTAGACACAGACCTCGCCTAGTTCAGCTTTCTAGCTCCTGTTGTTTTCTGATTAGACTGTTTTATCTATTAAGAAATTGATCTATTGAAACCTAGGGTATAATACAGTGAAAATAGTATCTAAATAGCATCAATCACTATCACCACAGTTTGCATATGGTTTGCCACTTATTGGCAGTATCAGTGTAACTTAATGTGATATTCTGGAACTACTGCTTTTGGATGAATCAGAAGTTATAAAACTAATATAAACAACTGAAGATCTCTTGAGAATTACATGAATTACACAGCACTATATCTTACATTATACATGTGATGTCAAAATTGCTTGAATGAGATTTGTCTTGATACTATGTTAAAATGCTAAAAAAAACTTATGCAAGTTAACCTTCACATTGATAAAACCTGTATTTCTTCTATTTTGAAACATAAAAGTGTATAAGTTAAATTAAATATTACTTTGGATTATAACATGAAGCTGTTTATAAGTGAGGTCTGAATGTACTCAATGAAGCACATTTTTCATAAACAACAGTATGGCACAATGTAGCACGTTTGGCAGAACAAGATGAAGAACAAATTGCTATCTATCCTAATATATAAAAGCCCCTGTGCGCACTTCTCTCTCTCTCTCTCTCTCTCTCTCTCTCTTTCCCTGTCTGTCTGTCCGTCCGCAAAATATTTTCGCTGGACATCACATCAGAATCTGCAGCGATATATGAAGAACTTTATACGGACTTTTGTTGAAAATAATGTTATATGTTTTAAATGTATAACCACAATTTTTTTAAAGAAGAAAAATAAAAAATAAAGTAGAATGTAGAAAAACAATTTTAATTATGCAACCGGAAAAATGTATATACTTGGGACAAGAACGCATTAACAAAGACGTCGCTTATTGTTTACACTTAAAAAAAAGAGCACGAAACTGATGACGTCATCTTTCGAGTTTAGAATAAAATAAAGAAATGAACTATTTCATTCAAATATGATTTAGAACTACGTACGCTATAAAATTTATACAATACAATTTTGCTCGGGCTAAACTTAAAAAAAAAATTCTATTAGGATTCTAGATCTAGATATTCTAGATAATATAGATCTAGAAATTCTAGATCTAGATGATCTAGATCTACGGAAAAACTAGACTTACACAGATGTAAACCCTACCTAGATCTAGAATCTATTCAAATAATACATTTCTATACTAAAGTATTTCTGGCCTTAATAACTTTATTGAAATCTTTGTTTATCTATGCAATTTGCTAATCTCTATAATATATAAAGCAAAGTTGTCGGGTGCCCGATAGGGCACTTCCCGGCGCCGCAGGCGCTTCAAATTTGGCAGGATCTTGCCTTGGGGCGACAGAACACGGGGGCCGGTTGGCCGAAAAGTCTACGATGAGGGGGTCAAAACTGACCTCGACTGACCGGGGCCTTATATGAGCTATAAATCGAAAAAAATTGGCCACGTAGGAACCTCTTCATAACTTTTGAGGTCGCAGAACAACCCTCGGGCGAATTAATTAAGCATTCAAATTCTCAATGTTTTCGAAAGCCTAAGCGAAGCTGGGCAGCATGCCTAGTATACTACTAAAAGCGATAAAGTTTATATATTTATTTATTTTTTGTATGTCTTTTTTGTTACATGAGAGCATCTGCACTCTATGTAGAACTGTAAAATATGTATATTTATGTACACAATAATCTTTTTTTACCAAACTGTTAAACACAAATTTATTTAAAGCCGTTATTTAATTTATTGATAGATTCATTGGTAGAAACACCACTTTAGTTATAAAAGTTCAGAACAATCAGTGTTTTAAAAGGCAAAAACATGTTTGACGTGTAACGTCCTATTGAGTGTGGTGGTCTGGGTTTTTGTGAAGATGTGTGACAGTGGGAAGGGAAAAGCTAAAAATCGTTAAACAAATGTGACATCATTTAAGGGTGATCCCCCGAAACACACGGTTATTCAAAAATGTGTGACAGTGGGAAGGGAAAAGCTAAAAATCATTAAACAAATGTGACATCATTTAAGGGTGATCCCCGAAACACACGGTTATTCAAAAATGTGTGACAGTGGGAAGGGAAAAGCTAAAAATCGTTAAACAAATGTGACATCATTTAAGGGTGATCCCCCGAAACACACGGTTATTCAAAAATAACAGGTAGTCTAGTACTATTTGAAAACAAAGTGGTTTCTCTGAAGAAGCTTCTTCCCTCCATGCAGAAGACGCAAAACGCCATGAACATAATAGCTGCACAATGTGCTAAAATTACGTTTCTTCTTTCTTCTTTTCGTTGTTAATTTTATTTTTGGAAGGGGATCCCCTCCAGCACAATTAAGTATACGTGTCAACTAGTTATGCGCCATTGAGGTAATTGGCACTGATTTCAGCCTGCTTTCCTTTTTGGATTTGCTTCCATAGCCTTTGTCCACCCAAGAACAAACTACAAGGCAGCAGTTGTTTGATTTTGGAGTTGTCTCACCTAGAAGAGTGGCTGTCCCCAACTAACGAGCCTCATCTGCCTGAGGGTTTGAACTTGTGACTTTTTAGCAGCCATGAGCTTTACCAACTCTACCACGCCGACCCCCTAAAATTACCTATAATACTGTAAATAGTTGCATAAAAGGCTGAAGTTATGCTTTTATAGCTGTGCAATGACATCAAATTACCCTTTTTGCCTTATTCTTTTGAAAAAACTATCTGTACTTGTGGTCAGGCAGTTGCGCTTAGTGGGTCATCAGGGATTGAGGGTTCATAGTCTAGTTATTGTATATCTATGTAGATCTATGGTCTATAAGTATAAATTAATTTTTAAAAATCTTTTTTAAAAGCCTATTTAAATGTACTATTTAAGTATTAATCATGTTATCCCTGTCCCATCATGACAACACGACAACACATAGGCCTAAACAAACATAGGCCTAAACAAACATAGGCCTAAACAAACATAGGCCTAAACAAACATAGGCCTAAACAAACATAGGCCTAAACAAACATAGGCCTAAACAAACATAGGCCTAAACAAACATAGGCCTAAACAAACATAGGCCTAAACAAACATAGGCCTAAACAACAAACATTTAATTATAAGAAAAACCAGGTCACTGTAGTGCATGTACATCTTCTTACTAGAATCGACCATTTAATAATAATCATTAAAAAAGTTTTAAAAAACCCACGTTTTCTGATTGAACTAAAAAGTAGAAAATAAACGCTATACATCACAATAATGCAAGCGATCACTCTACTATAAGCGATGAAAAACGTGGGGCGCTGAAGTAAAAGTTATATTACTATTGATTAGATAATACTATTGACTTTTATTAGGGAGCTTGTAGAGAGTCAACAGTATTAGAAATTGTAAGAAAATCACGGCGCCCCACGTTTTTGATCGCTTATAGTAGAGTGATCGCTTGCATTATTGTGATGTATAGCGTTTATTTTCTACTTTTTAGTTCAATCAGAAAACGTGGGTTTTTTTAAACTTTTTTAATGATTATTATTTTCTACTTTTTAGTCTTTGTCTGTTTGTTTGCATTAAAATCTTGCTATCGATTTTATCTTCTCGCATTCACTTTTGTTTTGGGTAAACGAAGACAAACACTCACAAAGGACGAACACCAAAAAATCCGATGGATTCCATCTGGTCCAAAGTCAATGCTTAAGTCGGGAATGTCTTTATCAATCTGGTCGCGTCTGAAATTTGGCCAATGGCTTTGTTGTGTGAATACGTTACTGACTAGAACACATAGATTTGAACCCGTGTCGAGTGGGATAGCAATCGTGTGCCCAACCACTCGACCATATCGTCTCCCCCAAACTGGCCTACCTCCTGTAACTTTAAACTCGGTTCAAACTAAATTATCTGCCCCTAAGCCTGTGGCGACGTGGGATCGTTCGCTTCACTGCGCGCGAGGTACGCGTCGCTCGTTTTTTTTCTAATGGCTCGCAGAGGAGAATTATATATATAGATTATATAGCGGTCTAAAATGCTCAATAAAATGTTTCCAATGATCAATTTAGTAATAATAACAATTGCATATTCTATGGTCATCCAAAAGAAAGCTTCCCTGAAAATTTCAGCGCGCTAGCTAACTGGGAAGTGCCAGAAATTTCGATCGCAAGATTTGATTGGAAAGACAAACAAACAGAGAAAGCAAGTTAAAGAAAACGTGGGAAAAATAGCAAAAGGTCACAGAATAACCTTTGTCTTTTTTACTTTCTTGTATATGAAGTATAGAGGACGTATTGTAATACTGCAAAAATCATAATTGATATTTTTACAAATCTCGACGTTTTGCAATTTTGTCCATATGTCTGTGTGTGTGTATGTCTGTGAACATCAATAACTTGAGTACGTTACAGCTAGGTTGATGAAATTTCATATATAAGTAAAAGATCTAATTCTCTGCCTTCTTTAAAATTTTGATGAGTATTTTCCGTGTACTGGAAGTAGTACTTTACACTATTTCCGATTTCTCAAAAAACATATTCTTTTTTTATATGAGATTCTATTGTATTTTAAAAAGTTTAATTAAGAATTGATAAAAAATGTCTATATCCAGAGTAGCCATCCCCTGTAGTGTTATTTAAGAATATTCGAGAAAGTGTAGGGGAGATCACTCCCGCTTTATTTAATATGTAATTTTCTATATCTTTGATCCAATAATTTTACCGTTTGTTTCAGTCAGCTTTTTCCGCCCTGACCCTAGGAGATGTAAGTGTATTCATTAATTTTAGTGGTGATTTAAAAGCTCAATAACTCTTTCTGAACGAGTAAATCTTCATTGAATACTTTTTTTTTTGGAAAGTTTGCGTGAAAGCTACAGTGTTTTGTTTTTAGTTTATGTGGATTTAGGTATGTATTTTTGTTAAAGTTATTGTTAAAATGTGAGATGTAATACTTGATTGCATTTGATGGCAGTTATCACAGACCCACTAGGAGATGTTACAAAATTTATTTCATCGTTTGAGTCAAGATATGGCCAGCGTCATCCAGTTTTTTACCAGGGGACTTATAGTCAGGTGCATATTACTTTACTTGTTCCATATAGTTAGGTGAACACTATACTTGTTTGTACTATACAGATCAGTAACCGTAAACACATTACTTGTTCTATACAGTAAACACATTTTTTGTTTTATACAGTAAACAAATTACTTGTTCTATATAGTGAACACATTATTTGTTCTATATTGACAAACACATTACTTGTCTATATAGGCATGTAACCAAATAAAATAATTAAAATCAATAAGTGCTGAAATTTTTTATTGCTATAGAAATCAGCTAAGAAAATTATGTTCCTTTTTTTCTAAATTTTTATTTTGATGCAGGCTTTGAATGATGCTAAGAAAGAGTTGAGGTTTCTCTTGGTATATTTACATAGTGAGGAGCACCAAAACACTGAGCAGTTCTGCAGGTCAGTGTTTTTCTCTTGAACAAAATTCCTTCACAAAGACATTTCACTCAGAAAACCACCTCCCTTTACCCACCAACAAACCACTTTTCTCTCATACACTTGTCCACTACATTCCGAACACTTGTCTTCCATGGTTGTATTTTCAACTTCACCCTGACACCCACCATCCATTGATTTACTTTCCTTATATACTCATCCCTTCACCCTAAACCAGAGACCCACCATCCATTGATTTACTTTCCTTATATACTCATCCCTTAACCCTGACACCCACCATCCATTGATTTACTTTCCTTATATACTCATCTCTTCACCCTAACCCTGACACCCACCATCCATTGATTTACTTTCCTTATATACTCATCCCTTCACCCTAACCCAGAGACCCACCATCCATTGATTTACTTTCCTTATATACTCATCCCTTCACCCTAACCCAGAGACCCACCATCCATTGATTTACTTTCCTTATATACTCATCCCTTCACCCTGACACCCACCATCCATTGATTTACTTTCCTTATATACTCATCCCTTCACCCTAAACCAGAGACCCACCATCCATTGATTTACTTTCCTTATATACTCATCCCTTCACCCTAAACCAGACACCCACCATCCATTGAGTTACTTTCCTTATATACTCATCCCTTCACCCAGACACCCACCATCCATTGATTTACTTTCCTTATATACTCATCCCTTCACCCTAACCCAGAGACCCACCATCCATTGATTTACTTTCCTTATATACTCATCCCTTCACCCTGACACCCACCATCCATTGATTTACTTTCCTTATATACTCATCCCTTCACCCTAAACCAGACACCCACCATCCATTGATTTACTTTCCTTATATACTCATCCCTTCACCCTAAACCAGAGACCCACCATCCATTGATTTACTCTCCTTATATACTCATCCCTTCACCCTAAACCAGAGACCCACCATCCATTGATTTACTTTCCTTATATACTCATCCCTTCACCCTGACACCCACCATCCATTGATTTACTTTCCTTATATACTCATCCCTTCACCCTGACACCCACCATCCATTGATTTACTTTCCTTATATACTCATCCCTTCACCCTAAACCAGAGACCCACCATCCATTGATTTACTTTCCTTATATACTCATCCCTTCACCCTGACACCCACCATCCATTGATTTACTTTCCTTATATACTCATCCCTTCACCCTAAACCAGAGACCCACCATCCATTGATTTACTTTCCTTATATACTCATCCCTTCACCCTAACCCAGACACCCACCATCCATTGATTTACTTTCCTTATATACTCATCCCTTCACCCTAAACCAGAGACCCACCATCCATTGATTTACTTTCCTTATATACTCATCCCTTCACCCTAAACCAGAGACCCACCATCCATTGATTTACTTTCCTTATATACTCATCCCTTCACCCTAAACCAGAGACCCACCATCCATTGATTTACTTTCCTTATATACTCATCCCTTCACCCTGACACCCACCATCCATTGAGTTACTTTCCTTATATACTCATCCCTTCACCCTAAACCAGAGACCCACCATCCATTGATTTACTTTCCTTATATACTCATCCCTTCACCCTAACCCAGACACCCACCATCCATTGATTTACTTTCCTTATATACTCATCCCTTCACCCTAAACCAGAGACCCACCATCCATTGATTTACTTTCCTTATATACTCATCCCTTCACCCTAAACCAGACACCCACCATCCATTGATTTACTTTCCTTATATACTCATCCCTTCACCCTGACACCCACCATCCATTGATTTACTTTCCTTATATACTCATCCCTTCACCCTGACACCCACCATCCATTGATTTGCTTTCCTTATATACTCATCCCTTCACCCTAAACCAGACACCCACCATCCATTGATTTACTTTCCTTATATACTCATCCCTTCACCCTGACACCCACCATCCATTGAGTTACTTTCCTTATATACTCATCCCTTCACCCTGACACCCACCATCCATTGATTTACTTTCCTTATATACTCATCCCTTCACCCTAACCCAGACACCCACCATCCATTGATTTACTTTCCTTATATACTCATCCCTTCACCCTGACACCCACCATCCATTGATTTACTTTCCTTATATACTCATCCCTTCACCCTAAACCAGAGACCCACCATCCATTGAGTTACTTTCCTTATATACTCATCCCTTCACCCTGACACCCACCATCCATTGATTTACTTTCCTTATATACTCATCCCTTCACCCTAACCCTGACACCCACCATCCATTGATTTACTTTCCTTATATACTCATCCCTTCACCCAGACACCCACCATCCATTGATTTACTTTCCTTATATACTCATCCCTTCACCCTAACCCTGACACCCACCATCCACTGATTTACTTTCCTTATATACTCATCCCTTCACCCTAAACCAGAGACCCACCATCCATTGATTTACTTTCCTTATATACTCATCCCTTCACCCTGACACCCACCATCCATTGATTTACTTTCCTTATATACTCATCCCTTCACCCTGACACCCACCATCCATTGATTTACTTTCCTTATATACTCATCCCTTCACCCTAAACCAGAGACCCACCATCCATTGATTTACTTTCCTTATATACTCATCCCTTCACCCTAACCCTGACACCCACCATCCACTGATTTACTTTCCTTATATACTCATCCCTTCACCCTGACACCCACCATCCATTGATTTACTTTCCTTATATACTCATCCCTTCACCCTGACACCCACCATCCATTGATTTACTTTCCTTATATACTCATCCCTTCACCCTAAACCAGAGACCCACCATCCATTGATTTACTTTCCTTATATACTCATCCCTTCACCCTAACCCTGACACCCACCATCCACTGTTTTACTTTCCTTATATACTCATCCCTTCACCCTAAACCAGACACCCACCATCCATTGATTTACTTTCCTTATATACTCATCCCTTCACCCTGACACCCACCATCCATTGATTTACTTTCCTGATATACTCATCTCTTCACCCAGACACCCACCATCCATTGATTTACTTTCCTTATATACTCATCCCTTCACCCTAACCCAGAGACCCACCATCCATTGATTTACTTTCCTTATATACTCATCCCTTCACCCTGACACCCACCATCCATTGATTTACTTTCCTGATATACTCATCCCTTCACCCTGACACCCACCATCCATTGATTTACTTTCCTTATATACTCATCCCTTCACCCTAACCCAGACACCCACCATCCATTGAGTTACTTTCCTTATATACTCATCCCTTCACCCTAACCCTGACACCCACCATCCATTGAGTTACTTTCCTTATATACTCATCCCTTCACCCAGACACCCACCATCCATTGATTTACTTTCCTTATATACTCATCCCTTCACCCTAAACCAGACACCCACCATCCATTGAGTTACTTTCCTTATATACTCATCCCTTCACCCTAACCCTGACACCCACCATCCATTGATTTACTTTCCTTATATACTCATCCCTTCACCCTAACCCAGACACCCACCATCCATTGATTTACTTTCCTTATATACTCAACCCTTCACCCTAACCCTGACACCCACCATCCATTGATTTACTTTCCTGATATACTCATCCCTTCACCCTAAACCAGACACCCACCATCCATTGATTTACTTTCCTTATATACTCATCCCTTCACCCTGACACCCACCATCCATTGATTTACTTTCCTTATATACTCATCCCTTCACCCTGACACCCACCATCCATTGATTTACTTTCCTTATATACTCATCCCTTCACCCTGACACCCACCATCCATTGATTTACTTTCCTTATATACTCATCCCTTCACCCTAACCCAGACACCCACCATCCATTGATTTACTTTCCTTATATACTCATCCCTTCACCCTAACCCAGAGACCCACCATCCATTGATTTACTTTCCTTATATACTCATCCCTTCACCCTGACACCCACCATCCATTGATTTACTTTCCTTATATATTCATCCCTTCACCCTAACCCAGAGACCCACCATCCATTGATTTACTTTCCTTATATACTCATCCCTTCACCCTGACACCCACCATCCATTGATTTACTTTCCTTATATACTCATCCCTTCACCCTAAACCAGAGACCCACCATCCATTGATTTACTTTCCTTATATACTCATCCCTTCACCCTAAACCAGAGACCCACCATCCATTGATTTACTTTCCTTATATACTCATCCCTTCACCCAGACACCCACCATCCATTGATTTACTTTCCTTATATACTCATCCCTTCACCCTAACCCTGACACCCACCATCCACTGATTTACTTTCCTTATATACTCATCTCTTCACCCAGACACCCACCATCCATTGATTTACTTTCCTTATATACTCATCCCTTCACCCTAACCCTGACACCCACCATCCATTGATTTACTTTCCTTATATACTCATCCCTTCACCCTGACACCCACCATCCATTGATTTACTTTCCTTATATACTCATCCCTTCACCCTAACCCAGACACCCACCATCCATTGAGTTACTTTCCTTATATACTCATCCCTTCACCCTAACCCTGACACCCACCATCCATTGAGTTACTTTCCTTATATACTCATCCCTTCACCCAGACACCCACCATCCATTGATTTACTTTCCTTATATACTCATCCCTTCACCCTAAACCAGACACCCACCATCCATTGAGTTACTTTCCTTATATACTCATCCCTTCACCCTAACCCTGACACCCACCATCCATTGATTTACTTTCCTTATATACTCATCCCTTCACCCTAACCCAGACACCCACCATCCATTGATTTACTTTCCTTATATACTCATCCCTTCACCCTAAACCAGACACCCACCATCCATTGATTTACTTTCCTTATATACTCATCCCTTCACCCTGACACCCACCATCCATTGATTTACTTTCCTTATATACTCATCCCTTCACCCTGACACCCAC